CAATAAGAAAAGGAACCAGGAGACAGGTGACTTAATTACAACAGTGAAAGAGATCGTTTAAATCAGAAAAAAGCTGACACTTAAGATTCCGCCTTTGCTGTAGATCTTTACTCACTTGAATCTGACAGCAATGACACTGCAGTAATGCCTCTGAAAAGACTTTTTTCCTTTTATATTTGATTGAAATTTATAGGTTTTTTATGCTGTATGTATCAGGTATATCACTATGCTTAATTGGGGAAACATTAATAATGTTGGGGTATTCTAAGCGACTGGACTTTAAGTTTCTTGAAGACATTTCAACCTCTCATCTGAGAAACTTCTTCAGTTCTAAGACCTAATGGTGGAGAGTCCCAGGTATTTAGGCCCTAGTGGGAGCTGTATTTTAAGAGGGTCGTTGACCCACTATTGATCATGTACCTCATTACATGAACCAAGGTGTGAAAAAGGGTGTGGGTTTGGATGAAACCACGTGAGACCTTGCCTCAACCTATCATGTGACCTGATGAGATCACCTGACGCAAGATATGAGTGGGCGTTAAGGCACCTGTGAAGGGATCTCAAAACTAAATTGTAGGTGGCAGACAGTTGGTGTTGTAATCCACCCCCTCTGTTCAAAAATGGTTGTTCACAGTGGACATACGTGGCTACTTCAACTCCTCTGGCATCCTCGAAAGAGTGGCCTTTGGCCTTCAGATGCAGACGTACAGCTCGTCCTGTCGAAGTGGCTGTTCTATGTTGTGCCATGTGTTTATGAGGTCGAGCATATGTATGGCTGTTTGGTTTTTCCAGTGCAGAGTTCTGAGCAGTCCTTGCTGCACTGTAAAGGTACACAACATTGTTTGCTTTGTCTTTGGGATGAACCAGTTTTTGTCTAAGTGGCTGGCTGGGTCTGAAGTGCCCTGGGAAGTCATGCTTGGAGAAGATTCACCTGACTTTCTATGATAAACCTGCTGGGATAACAATGTTGTTCCACTTGTCCTTCTGTTTCTCCCTCCTTTATTGTGTATCTTTGCCTATTTGATGAAAGCCCAAATGGACTTTCCATGACCTGGATGTCTGACAATCAACACAGACAATGTTTGGGTTTAATTATGAAAGAAGCTTTCTACAGCTGTAGGTGGCAGATAAGAGCGACGGAAGTACACAAGTAGTGAAATACATCATGTGTTGGCTAAAGCAAAGACCTATTACTGTATAAAAAGTGACACTTCCTTTGAATAGTGGATTTTTAGACTGCCCCTGGAGCGTGTCATGGGCACCATGCTATTGAGAATTGGGTTAGCATTGAGCCTGCTGATGTATTGATCTGTTAGCTCAGAGAGAAAAACACAACATGGCCTGCATCCATCCA